ATGCAAAAACAGTGAGCTAGATAACAATAAAATGTTAATGGAAACTCTTTAACTAGGATTTTACACTCAGAATGTGAGCTAAATAATACAAACATGTTAGTGACATTTTTTGAAACATTTTTTTTCTACATTTGGTGCCCCATAAAAAGTGACACGTTGAAGAGATAAACTTATGTTCCCTGACTTGTACATTKGCTTTTCTAAGCCTAGAGAATCACCACTGCAAGAAAACACAGGCGCTCGCTGACATCATATAACATCCTCTAAATGTTTCTTTCTTGATGTCATATCCTGAAAAGCCTCAACAGAAATATTCTATRAGCTCACATTCATCTTCCTGGCTTTCATCTGTGGACCTGGAAGCCACAGGTGGGCCAGCGGGGAACCCGTGTCCGCAACTGGGCAGTGAGTTTGTACTTGTCAGAACAGTTCTGCGCACCGGGGCAAGTCTCTCCCTCTGTGCTCCCAACACTGAGTGGTGCCTTAGCAGTCTGGAGCCTGGCTCCCGCTCAGCTACAAGTGGACTTTGGCACTGAGGGCACAGAATGCCTAAAGGACGGAAAGAGTAGTGAAGAAAAGTGGAGTGAAAGCAGTTAAAGGGGGGGGGGGGGGGGGTTCCTCTAAAGCAGCTTGTGGGGGGAAGATTAGGCAAAGAGTTGTAGAGTCTAAGGAGCAGAGCGGGCAAAAGCAAGCATAAGAGATGAAGGAGTGACTCAAGGACTAAGCTACAGATCAAGTCGTTCCAGTTGTTTGTTTTTTTTGTGGGTGTGATGATGTGAAGTAAAGCGATCGTTACCATTTTCCAAATTTTCGTTGCTCTCGTAGCACCCAGAGTCCCTCGGCGAGTCGCCCACCAGACCCCGACCGTCGCGCAGCAGCTTCTCTTGGGATCCCGACAGACCGGTGCGCTCCGGATCACTGCTGCCTGTTAGCAGGGACACACAGACAACTAAATCCACCAACATTTTACTCATTAGTCTAAATCAGAGGTGCCCAAGGTGGGGCCCACGGGCCAAAACTGGCCCCTCGAGCCATTTGATTTGGCCCACCAGCAGCTGTCCTGCTTACTAGATTGTAATTATGTTAAGATTAAATATAAAATACAACTACAAGAGACATTTAGATTAGATTACCACCTCTGTTTAATGATGGACGGTCTTTCTTCACAAAAATGGCTTCTTTTACTCCTCTCTCAAACCAGCGTTCCTCTCTATCAAGAATGAGAACATCCTCATCTCTGAAAGAGTGACCGCTGGCCTGTAAATGAGTGAAAACTGCAGAGTTCTGGCCATTARATGTAGCTCGTCTGTGTTGGGACATTCTTTTGAACAGTGGTTGCTTTGTTGTGAGAGGAACGTTGGTTTGAGAGAGGAGTAAAAGAAGCCATTTTTGTGAAGAAAGACCGTCCATCATTAAACAGAGGTGGAGGCCTCCGTTTTCAGTTGTCCCCCTCCTACAGTGCTGCTATTGCCAGTATCACTCCACCCCCTGTTAACAATAGGTGTTAATTAGGTGTCAACGATAGCCATGTGATGTGAATATCAGTCACATGGAGGCAGGGCTTAAAAGCCTGAATTTTGCCTGAAACTCTCAGACTGAAGAAGTCTCTTGGAGGAGAGACGAAACGTTTCATTAAAGAAGAACCCGTCCAGAAGACCTATACAATTTTTTTCTTTTTGGTATTTTCTGTTTTTTTTTTCCATTTTTTTTAATTTTCTGTTTCTGTCCACACACCCTAAGGTTCACCACCTGCTGATTTCTCACAGCTTTTTTTGAAAACGCAGGAAGTGCTTCTCAGCCTACTTACTGTCGTACTCCTGCAGCAGCTCTACAGCGGTGAGCAGCACTGCTCGGTGTTGAGGGTCTTTAATGTTCAACTCGTCGAGGTCTTCCTCTTCCAGCAGCTTGAACGTGTCCAAGTCCTCRTAGCCGTTGAACAAGAAAGTGGGCATGTGCTCCTGTGTTACAGAAAGACCCCCCTTTTTTAGTTTCAAGTTAGTTCCGTTAAACTACTGTCACACTATACACGGGGAAAGAATTAGCATTAAAATCCTGAATGAAAAACMAAAAAATTAACGCGAGAAGAAACCAAGGGGTTGACAGAATCGCATCAAAGTAACCATCAACCACAGACGACAAAGCGGTGCAGCCAAACACACACCCAGGCTTCTGTGATATCTGAGATGACACGGAAAATAAAAGTTTATACACCCTGTTTGTGAGAGCAAAGTCAAACTGCTTCCATTTCTGTTCAACCCCAAAACACTCAACAAGACCTTCAATTATAAGTGAGCTGTGTGTCTTTGTGCTATTTCTGCTGGATGAGGCTGGACTAAACAAAAGGACCACCAGGCAGCGAGGTCGTCTCACTCWGAAAATCTGCTGCATTTAGCAAGAACAAAAAGGTTACAGAGGAGATTTATACTTCACGGTCAGGCACTGTCACACATTCGGGCTTTAAAACAAAACAAACTTCCTTCGCCTGTAATATGTCAGCTGTAGTTAAAGTTTTATCTATGTAGCTCATAGGCATCAGTTTCTGAAAGTAGAGAGACGGCATCTTTACTGAGAAATGATAGCTGTCAGAAATAAGGACAGCGCGGCCTGATAAATTTTAATACAGGGCGATAAAAACATAAACGAGGCAGCCAAAAACTTCCTGAAGATAGCATCTACTTTATCCTGAGTGATAAATCTGCCTTTAAAGCTATAGATTAGTTTGTCATAAAATAAATAGTCACCTTATCTCTTGCAGCACACTTTTTACTTATGTGGTTTACGTGAGAAAGTTCAAAACAATAGTTGAGATATTTGAAAGGCGATGCATGACACAAAATTCACCTTTTAAGCCATTAAATATATTTAGTTGTGGACTTGGAGTCTGTAGGAGTGCAGAAAATTTGAATATAGTTTCTCCCAATGCTGTGTAGATTTCTTTATATTCTGCTCGAGTCATATTTTTCAACCTGTTCAGTTTTCTCTATTATTTATTTATTTATTTATTTATTCATTTATTTTTATTAACCGTTATTTTACCAGGCAAATCCCATTGACATCTCAGATCTCTTTTTCAAGGGAGGCCTGAAGGCAACCTATTGTACATGTTTTTGTGTTGTGGGGTAACTCCGCACAGAAAGACCCCAGGTCCGAACCGGGGATCGAACCCAGGACCTTCTTGCTGTGAGGCGTCTGTGCTAACCACTGAGCCGTCGTGCCGCCTGTGACGTTTTCTGAACTATTAGGTTACAGTATTTACAATAAACCTGCCAAATAAGGTCTAGACTTACCAAACGCAGTTTGGTGGTCTTCTCTCGTTAACATCTTTTAATTAATTTGTCACGAAAAAAAGTTTCTGTGCTGCYATATAGTCGTAAAGCCCCTCTAGCAAACTACAATGGACCRKTCTGGAAGCTGGAGGGAGGCGGGGTCTAAAGRGCCTCATTTGGATTTAAAGAGACAGCCTCAAAACGAGTTGAAATGAGTCACACCTGTAAAAGAGGGGCTTGTGGAGTTACAGTAAGGAGAAATTCAGACCAAAGCATTACAGTTTCACTTTAAATAGACCTGATATAAGTGGGCTAATAGGACTAAGCCCTCCCTGGTGTTTACAATAAAAGTTAATAAACACAAATAAAAAAATATTATATCACATTTTGTGGAATTTACGACAAAGCGGACGCCAAAGAGTTTGGAGGAAATCCCAGAATATTTCCAAAGGGCTAAGCCTTCAAAGCCCTGTTCTTGTAATGCCTTTCGTGGTACAGAGTGATTGAAAGATGTCTTGTCCCGCCCCCTTGGTTTGCTGCTCATTGGGGCTAATTTTGTTCAGCCCAGGGTCAGCTTTAGCCAATGAGAGTGGACGTAAAATAACGCGCCGTGAGCGTGAGTAGATGTGGGTGTGGTTTGACGTAGACTGATTACGATAGCGAACAGGATTAACAAACGAGGTGGATTATTTAATTTCTCACCTGTTTTCTGAGTGCTTTTTTGKAAGAAAAACTGGAAATAAAGAGGTTGGGGTGGATAGTAAGTCGAGCTCGTTTCCGGTGAGAGTTGGACTCCGCCAAGGCTGCCCTTTGTCACCGATTCTGTTCATTACTTTCATGGACAGAATTTCWAGGHGCAGCCGAGGTGTTGAGGGGATCCGTTTTGGTGGCCTTAGGATCGCATCTCTGCTTTTTGCGGATGATGTGGTCCTGTTGGCTTCATCGGAACGTGATCTGCAGCTCTCGCTGGAGCGGTTCGCGGTCGAGTGCGAAGCGGCCGGGATGAGGCTCAGTGCCTCCAAATCCGAGGCCATGGTCTTGAGCCGGAAAAGGGTAGAGTGCCTTCTCCGGGTCAGGGGGGGTCGTCTTGCCTCAAGTGGAGGAGTTTAAGTATCTGGGGATCTTGTTCACGAATGGGGGAAGAASGGAGCRGGAGATCGACAGGCGGATTGGAGCAGCGTCTGCTGTAAAGCGGGCGCTGTACCGGTCCATCGTGGTGAAGAGAGAGCTGAGTCAGAAAGCGAAGCTCTCGATTTACCGGTCGATCTACGTCCCTACCCTCATCTATGGTCATGAGCTTTGGGTCATGACCAAAAGAACGAGGTCCCGGATACAAGCGGCCGAAATGGGTTTCCTCCGCAGGGTGTCTGGGCTCTCCCTTAGAGATAGGGTGAGAAGCTCGGTCATCCGGGAGGGACTCAGAGTAGAGCCGCTGCTCCTCCACGTCGAGAGGAGCCAGTTGAGGTGGCTCGGGCATCTGGTAAGGATGCCTCCTGGACGCCTCCCTGGTGAGGTRTTCCGGGCACGTCCCACCGGGAGGAGGCCCCGAGGAAGACCCAGGACACGCTGGAGGGACTATGTCTCTCGGCTGGCCTRGGAACRCCTTGGAGTTCCCCCGGAGGAGCTGGAAGAAGTGGCTGGGGADAGGGAGGTCTGGGCCTCCCTTCTGAAGCTGCTGCCCCCGCGACCCGACCCCGGATAGGCGGAAGAAAATGGATGGATGAATGGATGGATGGATGGATGGATGGGGCGGATAGGCCCAAGGATATTCAAATCCAGCCAAAGCAAAGGTTTTTCTGTGACCTGGTTTCTGCGAAAAGATTGGCTGTTGGGAAGGTTATGGACCTGTTGTAGATGCCTCTTCGAACAACTTCTGTTTAAAAGTTTGTACAGAAACCCGCAAAGATGTTTTAATTTACCGCGTGTTTAGTCTAACTTCTTTAGTACAAAACTCTCCCCCTTCCGATGCACTTGTAACAAGCAGATTCACAGCTCCGCAGCAGCAGCAAGGATTAATCTGTGACTCGACCAAAGAGTTGGCCGGAGATTAAAACACAGACAACCCACAGGACGTGTCTATTTCTATATGAAGGAAAGCAGGCTGCCGGCTGCCTGAGGGGGAGGAGGTGACAGCTCAGAGTCGTGTAGGTTTTGATGAAAAGCCCCGAGCTGCTTWGCAGGGGTAGGCTTGTCACAATGGGGGTGTTAACGTTTGTGCGTTAGTGTCAAAGCAAACATAGAAAGCCGTGCAAGCCTGTAATTGGGAACACTATGTTTGTCTCTGTGTGAATTTGAGAGTTTGGATGTTTCTCTTTCATTAACCGAGCAAAAAAACTGATTGATGAACCCGTCTAATACTTGGATGGGTCTGAAAGTTTATATCAAAGGTATTAAATACTGGGTAATGATGCGTTTAATCCGCTGCACCTGGTTCCTCACCTTGAGGTTTATGCGCTCCAGAAGCTCCTCTACTGATGTGGGTTTGGGCGGTCGGCCCTTCCTCCTCCTCCTCACGGGCCTCTTGGGCTTCTCCTCTTCCTCACTCAGAACATCCACATAGATGAACTTGAAAGTGCCCACTTTGTTGTTGAGCAGGCCCATCCATGTGCCCATGGGGGGCTTACTGATGATGTCGATCACGTCACCTCGCTGGAGTAATGGAAAAGATGAACAGTGTTACTTGTTAAAGTTCAAWTGCCATTTAAGGTAATGGTGCCGTATTGTTAAAGTTAGACTCGGTTCAAATTTGAATCAACAGTAGCTGCGTTTCCATTGCAAATGTGCACAAAACTTTGTCCATATTCTGTTAATGTCGAAAAACAGTTTCGCAACTGCGGTGTTTCCATTTAGTAAGAAATGCTATTAAAGTCACGCGTGAATACGTTTGTTCTCGCGATAAGTCATTACAAACATGGCGGCAATGAATGTAAACACATAGCATGTTGCTACCACGACACTAGCGCTCATCATCAGAGGAGACGTCGACGTCTTTTATCGAGGCTTTCCAGCAACAAGTCCCTACTTGGGAGCGGCTACATATGCTGTGTTTTTGGGAAAGTGTAGTTGGTGAGTTTACTATTTTATACTACGTCCATGATTTTACCACTATTTCTACTTCTTGTTATCTTCTTCATCGTCTTTTTCGCCAGTAGAAACAGCCGGTTGTTGATCATGTGGCTCCCTTGATGCGAAAAGTGTTTCCATTGCAGTTTTGCGAAATACACCAATTTCGATACCTAGCAAAAAAAACATTTTGTCGAAAAACAATATTTTTTTCGAAATTGACGTGTTTCCATTGAGCAAATTTATTTTCGAAATTCTAATTTGCGCATTTTCATGGTCAATGGAAACGCAGCTACAGTGCCCTGGGGCAGCTGTGGCTACAATGTAGCTTACCACCATCAGTGTGTGTATGTGTGTGTGTGTGT